CCAGAATCATATGGAGGGATGGCAGGATGCCAAGTAAGTACAGAACAAAAGAATGTACGTATATGGTAAGTAGGAAAGTCCATGCTGGCGTATGGTAGACGCACAGCCACTATCACTGCCACTCCCGGTCCGGCACAGCCGTAGACACAGAAGTTCAACAGGGACCGCTCACCGTGAGGAGATCCCGATTCGAGCTCCCCGAGCTTGCCCTCAAGTGCAGCTCTCACGGAATTGCGACGATGCGGGTTCGCGCAGGCGAGTATAGTTCTCCTGTCTGTTTGTACGCGTTACTGTACGATTCGAGCGTCTGGATGCGAGGCTGCTCGAGTAGCGGGGCCATTTGGAGACTGCGCCTTCGTGTCTCCCTCCCCGAGTCCTTGTAGCACATTTCGCGCATTGCAAGCGTGCCGCGCGGCGCGAGCAAGTACGTAGAGTTTCCATGCATTCCCTGTGCCCTAGTCGACGTGTTCGAACTCGGAATATATTTGATTTCACACTTGCCATACTTGCGAGTCAACCTGCCCCCACTCCTCGTCCTCCCAATTCCTCCCCACTCCCAGATAACCCCCCACTGCCCTCCCGGAGTCAGTGATTCTCGTCCCACCCGTTTGCACACCGCCCCCGCATCATCGCGCCGCCCGCGCCGCGCTCGCATCAAGTACGAGCCTCGAAAGGTACTCGCAGCTCTTGGCGAAGGTCGCCGGTCCGAGGACAGACACAAGTACGAGCCCCCGCACACACGCAGCCAGCTTCCGAGTGATAGTGAGTCAATTCATTGTACAGTCCCTGTATGTATGTAATAATCTACACTGAAAGGTACGTATGGGTCCTGTCCTACACTGCAACAATATGAAAACAAATGGGGCGACAGTGTGCGTGCGCAATCTCTAGCGATACATGCCTTCCAATACTCCGATGTCCTGCCACTGCCGGAGGCCTCCTGGGCGTCCGGATCCTTCGACGTACGAGCGGCGCCTTACGCGATGGTGCTGGAAGTCTGCGTGCGCCCCAGGCCACCTCGGCCCCGCCTTAAACGGCGTGGCGAAGCAGAAGGGGCGGACGGGCGCGAGGCACTTGCGGTGCGCGACGACATCCGAACGGGTCCGGGCGCGGGCGCGGGAGAAGCAGGTGGCGTGCTCTGCGGTGTGGCCGGGGCGCTCAGGCGCCGCTTCTTGTCGACATGGGACGTGTCTGCGTTGTCGACATGAGACGCGTCTGCGTTGTTGGCTGCGGCCGCGGAGCTGTCGTAGGCTTCGCCCAGTTTCCACGCGATGGCGTTCATGAGTCGGGGGTCCAGTACGCGGAGGCCCGTCGTTCATGTCGTCCATGTCGTCCAAGTCCGACATGTCGA